GCTGATAGGCTGCTCACATAAGATCACAAAATGGAGGATAATTATATAATGACAAACGCTGAGAATCATGGCCTAGCCAAATAAACTTGCATGATCCTATAGTTAGCACATGACAGCCATAGACTCTACAGGACAGAATAGAAGGTTTCCAAGGTTGTAATCTTTACAGTGAATAAGGAAGATTGTAGAAGAATTGATGCCTTTGAGTTGTGGTGTTGGAGGAGAATACTGAAAGTGCCATGGACTGCCAAAAGAACCAATAGATCTGTTTTGGAAGAAGTGCAGCCAGAGTGCTCCTTGGAGGCCAAGATGGTTAGGCTTCGTCTCTCATACTTTGGACACATTGTCCGGAGAGAACAGTCGCTGGAGAAGGATGTCATGCTGGGTAAGATGGAGGGTCAGAGAAAAAGAGGAAGACCCCCAACGAGATGGATCAGCCAGGTGGCATCATTGATGGCGTCAAGTGTGGTGGCGGTAGTGAGGTTGGCCCAGGATCGGACATTGTTTCGTTCTGCTGTGCATGGGGTCGCTATGAGTCGGTTCTGACTCGACGGCACCTGACAACAACAACAATCTTTACAGAAATAGACTGCTACATCTTTTTCCCGTGGAGCAACAAATAGGTTGGAACTACCAAACTAACCCCTTATCCACTGCTCTACAAAAGCTCCTTTTTATTAATTTTTTTTTTAAGTTGGCCTCCCAAATGCCTGTTTCCTATGAATGATGGCATTTAACAACAACAACATATCCACACCAAAAAAAAAGACAAAAAAATCCTGTTGCCAACTAGTTGATGCTGACTCACAGCGACCCATGCGTTACAGAGTAGAACTTGACAGAGTTTCTTGACTGTAATCTTGTGGAAGCACATCTGGAGACCTTTCTTCAATGGTATCACTGGGTGGGTCTGAACTACCACCTTTAGCTCAGTTTGTTGTTGTTGTTGTTAGGTGCCATCGAGTCAGTATAGACTCATAGAGACCCTATGCACAACAGAATGAAACATTGCCCGGTCCTGGGCCAACTTTGCAATTGTTGCCACGCTTGAGCCCATTGATGCTGCCACTTTGCCAATCCATCTCACTGGGGGTCTTCCTCTTTTTCTCTGACCCTCCACCTTACCAAACATGAGATCCTTCTCCAGCGACTGGTCCCTCCTGACAATATGTCTGAAGTACGAGAGACAAAGTTTAGCCATCCTGGCCTCCAAGGAGCACTCTGGCTGCACTTCTTCCAACATGGTTCTTTTGGCAGTCTATGGCACTTTGAATATTCTCCTCCAACACCATAACTCAAAAACATCAATTCTTCTATGGTCTTCCTTATTCACTGTCCAGCTTTTGCATGCATGTGGGTTATTGTAAATACCATGGCTTGGGTCAGGTGCACCTTAGTCCTCAAGCTGACATCTTTGCTCGTCAACACTTTAAAAAGGTCTTGTGCAGCAGATTTCCCTAATGCAATACGTCGTTTGATTTCTTGACTGCTGCTTCCATGAGTGTTGATAGTTAATCCAAGAAGAATGAAGTCCTTGACAACTTCAATCTTTTCTCTATTGATAAGAATGTTGTTTATTGGTCCAGTGGTGAGGATTTTTGTTTTCTTTACATTGAGTTGTAATCCATACCGAAGGCTGTGCTCTTTGATCTTTATCAGAAAATCTTCACTTTCAGCAAACAGTTGTTGTGATGTGCCGTGGAGTTGGTTCCGACCCATAGCGACCCTGTACAGGGTTTCCAAGGTTGTAAATCTTTACGGGAGCAGAAAGCCTAATCTGTCTCTCAGCAAGCAGTAGTCCAGTGCAAATTATTCAGGCCACTCTAAGTCCTGTTTGTTGTTATTGTTAAGTGCCATTGAGTCGATTCTGATTCCTAGAGACCCTGTATAAAGTTTCGAGCTGTTCATCTTTGCAGGACCAGAAAGTTTCATCTTCCTCAGATAGGCTGGTGGATTCGAACTGCCAACTTTGTGGCTCGCAGCTCAGTGCTTACCTTACAGAGCTCCTGCGCTCCCTCAGGGACCTATATGTCCATACAATTTAGTAGTAAAAAGGGGTAATGTTTTGATATACCCTATAATATAGATAAAACCTGAGAACATTATGCAAAGCGAAACAAGGCAGACACATACAAAAACACACAATGTATGATTCCATTCTATGCATATCAAGAATAGGCAAATGTATAAGGACAAATTAGAATAGAGGTTCCCTGGGTGTGGGGGGGAAGAATGGAGGGTGATAACTAAGGGTAAGGGTTTCTTTGGGGGGAAACAAAAACAGATTTGATTGTGATAATATTTACACAACTCGAAATATACTAAGAAACATTGAATTGAGTACTTTAAATGTGGTCTTTGAATTATAAATTATATCTCAGTAAAACTGTCATGTCGTCCCTGCCCCTCTCCTGTCAAATGAGATTAAGAATTCATTCAAGAGTCATTTTCTTAAGAGGCCTTTGTGATCATCATATTTAGAATTGCATCTCCACCTCAATATTCCCTTATCTGACTTACTCTCCCCCAAGCACTTATCAACTTCTAATAGAGTAATAACGGAGTGAATACTTATTGTCTGTCACCCCTACTAGAAAGTAAGCTCATGCAGGGCCTTTGAAGAGCTGGCAGGTATAGCTGGCGATTCACATTGATGCTCAGCAAGGAATACCTATTGCTGCCAAGTTAATTCTCATTCTTGGAGGCCCCATGTGTTACAGGGTAGAACTGCTCCAACTTTGTTGCCGTTGTTTTTCATTTATTACGTATTTGGTGAAAGTTTACATAACAAATTTTGTTGTTGTTGTTAAGTGCTGTCAAGTCGGTTCCAACTCATAGCGACCCTGTATAGGGTTTCTGAGGAGCGGTTGGTGAGCTTGAACCACAGACCTTGAGGTTCAAACTGACTTTGCAATCCAGCGTATTAACCCACAGCAACACACCAGGACTTCACATAGAAAATTAGGTTCCCATTTGATTACTTTGGACATATTATCAGGAGGGACCAGTCCCTGGAGAAGGACTTCATGCTTGGTAAAGTGGAGGGTCAGTGAAAAAGATAAGGCCCCAACAAGATGGATTGGCACGGTGGCAAGAGCAATGGGCTCAAGCGTAACCACAATTATAAGGATGGCACACAACTAGGCAGTGTTCCCTTCTGTTGTGTGTAAGGTCTCTATGAGTCAGACCTAACTCGATGGCACCAAACAACAACAGCAATACATATTGGTTACTTTTTTGTGTTTGTTTTTTAACAATATATTATTAACATTTTCAATGTTTCTATTCTGGTTGTTTTGTTTCCATTAATCTAGCTTCCCTGTGCCCCCCTTATAGTCTCATCTTTGCTTTAGGGTAAATATTGAACCATAGGGTTTTCATAACTTTGTTCTTTGTGGAAACAAAACATCTAACTTTTCTTCTACTGTGCTAGGAGTGTTTGAGCCCCCAACCTTTAAGTCAGTGTTGTTAAGTGCTGACAAGTTGACTCGGACTCATAGTGACCCTGTGTATTTTGAGGAGCAGGTGGTGGATTTGAACTGCTGATCTTGTGAGTAATAGTCTAGAACTTAACCCTACAGTGCCACACCAAAACCCCTTTAAGCTAATAATTGAGTACAACACATTTGTGCCACCCAGGGGCTTCTGGCAACGAATAAACCAAAAACAAAATCTACTACCATCATGTCGAGTTCAATTCATAGAGACCACATGTAAGGTTTCTAAGGCTATAACTATTTCCAGGAGCATAAAGCCTCACCTTTCTCCAGTGGAGTAGCTAGTAGGTTTGAACTGCTGACCTTGCAGTTAGCAGTCCAGGGCTTATCCTACAGCACCACCAGGGCTTCTTGGGGCTTAATAAACAATTACTGAAAAATTAATGGTAAGCATTTTGTAAACTGAACTGTCATTACCTTCCTGTTCTGTGAAAAGCAGGTAGGGTACAGTGTGTATATCTTTCCCTGCCAAAGGGAGTAGGCAGTGGGGCTCCTTCAGGGCTGAGACCCTGGGGGCAAAGAATAAAAAACATGGTCTTGACTGGGACCCACAGACCAGGCAGGGGACAGTGAGGTGGAGACTAAGCTGTGGTCTCAGAGGGGGCAATTTTCAGACACAGCAAACTAGGGGGCGGAGTATGTGTTACATTTTATAGAAACAGCAGTATGGTATGCCCTGTTGTTGCAGTGGTTAAGCGCTTGGGATTCGAACTCACCAGCCCTGGGGTGGGGTTGGATGGGGTGGGGTAGTGGAGACCTGGAAATCTGTTGCTAATAAAGATTAAAAAAACAAACCTGTTACCATCAAAACCACTCATAGCTACCCTGTAGGACCGCATAGATCTGCCCCATAGAGTTCCTAGGCTGTCATCTTTACAGAAGCAGATTGACGGCTCTTTCCTTCCAAGGAACCACTGGTGAGTTCCAACTGATGACCTTTCAGTTAGCAAACCAGTGCTTAACTACTGTGTCATCAGGGATCCACGATCACAGACTAGGACACTCTATGGGTAGTTCTACTGGCCTATAGAGTTGGTATTAGTCAATGATTCACAATATTTCAAACCAGAAACAGACATTTGAGTGTTCTTGCAGTCCATACACATCCCTGGCCATCTGGGAAATGTGCTGGCTCATGGAACTTGGCAAACTTTGGTTCCTCTCTTTCTGCTATTTTGTATTTCTTCCAAGTTTTTCCTTTTTATGTTTGTGAAGCGGGTAAAGAGAAAGGGAAAAAGAACTCGATTCATTACAATTCAGGTCGCTGACTTTAGGCGTACGTCTCATTCCATTCTCACCAGAGCCTTCTGGGGGAAAAAAGATGCTATTATCTCCATATGCAGCAGAGGAAACTGAGGCACAGCGTCAGGGAAAGCGCCTGATACATCGTGGATGCTCAATCAGTATTTACTGAATCGAATTGGAGAGAAAACCCTCAATGGCAAGGAAAAGAGATTTCCTCTGCTACTCTGGGATTCCTGTGGAGTGGGAAACGGGAAAAGGATGGAGCACACAGCGGGGTTGCGCCCTCGCCCCTCCTCTCCTCTCTCCCTGCTCCTTTCCGCCCCGTTCCCCGGGCTGGAGAGCCTTTTGGAGGGTGCCCTCAGCCTGGTTCCGGCACGCCTGCCAGGCTGCGGGGAGGACCGAGGAGTGCAGGACCCTGAACGAGCGCTCCCCGCGGCGCACATGCAGTCCCGGCGCTCAGCCGGGTCCAGCCCAGCCCCAGGAGGGCTGGAGCACAGGCTTAAGTACAGGCCCTCCACCCCGAGGTCACTTGACACCCTGTCCCCCACACCCGGACAATCCCAGCCCCCCATTCCTAGGGGCTCGCTCCGTTCCTCCCCCTGCTTGCCCCCACCCACTGCCGGCAGCTCCTCCCTCGCGGAGACCCATAAGGCGGCCGGAACCGCAAGCCACATGCTCGGCGGCACCATGAATGTCTCGGACAGCGCCGGGGACACCCGCAATGTGGACGATGGCGGCTGGCAGCCCGAGGCAGTCCTGGTGCCCACGCTCTTCGCGCTCATCTTCCTCGTGGGCACCGTGGGCAACGCACTGGTGCTGGCCGTGCTGCTGCGCGGTGGCCAGGCCATCAGCACCACCAACCTATTCATCCTCAACCTAAGTGTGGCGGATTTGTGCTTCATCGTGTGCTGCGTCCCCTTCCAGGCCACCATCTACACCCTGGACGACTGGGTGTTCGGCTCACTGCTCTGCAAGGCCGTGCACTTTCTCATCTTTCTCACCATGCACGCCAGCAGCTTCACACTGGCTGCTGTCTCCCTGGACAGGTGAGTGGCCGCCATGGCAACCTAGGGGCTCAGGGACCCAGGAGGGGGCTGGTGAGGGGTAAGGGGTCTGGAGGTCAAGGGCCGTACAAGGAGTAGGAGGGGGCACAAAGAAAGCAAAGGAACCCAGAGGGAGTGAAAGAAAAGTGGGCGCGTTGGAGAAGTAGGAGAAGAATGGGGGGGAGGAGGGCATTACTTGAGTCCTCTGTACGCTGGACGTTGCCGACGCCTTAAAATGTGCAGCATTTCCCAGGACAAAGTGCTTTCACCCGCTTCCTCAAGGTTTAGCTTAATATCCCTGTGTACTGGAGTGGGGAGGAGCGTTTGTGATGCAGTGGGTTAAGTGCTTGAATGCTATGGAATGCTCAGCCAATTTCGGTAAAGATCACAGCCTTGGAAACTCTGGGGCAGTTCTACTCGGCCCTAAAGGGTACCTAGAGTCAGATTTGACTGCCCTGCAGTAAGAAGAGGAATAAGGGAGGGTTATTGAGTCCAGTATACCGAGAAGACCGACTTGAAATACCTTTGTCAGAGTTACCACCAGTCATGCACTAGAAGAGCAAGTGGGCCATCTCCTAGCGCCAAACTCAGGCTTCTCCTCTGTGGTGACCTCAAAACACCTGATTGCTCTGTGCAGCCTGCTCTGGTCCAGACTGAGGAACTTGGGTCCCTGTCAAAGTCCTAGCACAGACTCTTGGGGCTCTTGCTCCATCCTGGCGCCATACCAGCAGACCCACACCAGGGATGGGAGAGGAGCAGCCTGTCAGGATCCCCCCCACACCCAGCCAAGCAGACGCAATTTGGAGGGGGCGGGGGAGAACTTGAAAGGAACCAGAATGATTCCTGGGAGGAAATCTGAGTCCAACTCCTGTATACTGCCCGCCCTCACCCCTCCCCCACCCAGATCTTCCAGATCTCTCAGGGAAAAGAGTTGCGCTGCGAGATGAGGCCCACACATCCCATACTCCCCCTACCCCCACTCCCCACCCTCCGAGTTCCACTTGGAAGTGGAGTGGGTTCTTTGGCTCCAGGCATCCTGTTAGAGACCCAGGCGCCCGGCTCTACCTCCTAGGGTACAGTCACTGGTGGGTCATCACAATTATGCTCCTGTAGACCCGAAATTCGATGCTCCACCCATTATTCCGCCTTGGCTTCCGAATGTCCTCCCAGGTGAAGTCTGTTAGTGTCCACACCCCTTGTGGAAGCAGATGAGTGGCCTGCACTTTCGCCATGTCCTGCAGATGGGTGCGCCTCAGGTCTGCGGCGCAGCTGAGAGTGGCAGGAATACGTAGGAGTCGCTTTCTGGGCGTGTGCGGTGTGGCTGTGAGCTACCTTCCTCGGATCGGGTTGGGACCCCAGGTGCAGATTTCTGCTCCTGTGCGTGCTCGCGCTCACCTGAAGTCTCCCTCTTGGTCTGTCTGACCCACAGGTATCTAGCCATCCGTTACCCGCTGCACTCCAGGGAGTTGCGCACGCCCCGCAACGCTCTGGCGGCCATCGGGTTCATCTGGGGGTTGTCGCTGCTCTTCTCTGGACCGTACCTGAGCTACTACGGCCAGTTGCAGCTGGCCAACCTGACCGTGTGCCACCCGGTGTGGAGTGCGTCTCGTCGCCGCGCCATGGACCTGTGCACCTTCATCTTCAGTTATCTGTTGCCACTGCTGGTGCTCGGCCTGACCTATGCGCGCACCTTGTGCTACCTCTGGCACACGGTCGACCCAGTATCTGCCGGCTCCGGCGCCCGGCGCGCCAAGCGCCAAGTGACGCGCATGATTGTCATTGTGGCCACGCTCTTCTGTCTTTGCTGGATGCCCCACCACGCGCTCATCCTCTGGGTCTGGTTTGGACGCTTCCCCCTCACGCGCGCCACCTACGCTCTGCGCATCCTCTCGCACCTTGTCTCCTACGCCAACTCCTGCGTGAATCCCATCGTTTATGCGCTCGTCTCCAAACACTTCCGCAAGGATTTCCGCAAAATCTGCGCGGGCTTGCTACGCCGCGCTCCCGGCCGCATCTTGAGTCGTGTGTACTTCGCAGCGCCGGGCGCCTATAGTTTAAGCGTGCTGGAGCGTGAGTCTACAGACCTAACGCACTTGAGTGAGGCGGCCGCTCCCCTTGCGCCCGCCCCAGCGCCTCCCAGCAGTCTGGCCTCCAGTCCCGGCCCTTATCTAGACAGTTAACGTGATCTGAAGGCACCGGGGAAACTTGGGTGCTGAAGAGTTGAAATCGAAGGTTGGAGGATAGTAGGGAGAGTCCTCTGTTAATAAAACGCGCTTCTTGAACGTGCAGAGAGCGCGAGTGTACGCATTCGTGATTGTCTAGAGGTCCTGTAGGATAAGCACTGGATCGCAAGGTTGGTTTGAACTTCAAGGTCAACGGTTCAAATCCACCAGTTGCTCCTCGGAAACTCTGAACACTGTGAGTTGGAAGCGAGGTGCTAGGACTTTACATGAGGGACCTCAGAGGCTAGCTGCAGAGCGTTTTGCTGTACTGCCTGGAAAGAGAGGTATCCCTCCCACACGGAAAGCAGCAAAAATCTCTGATGCTGGGGAGTGTGGGACATGTGACCGAAGGCTCTTTGCATATGGCCATTATGAGGCACTGGGTGTCTCTAGATCGCTAAACCAGCTGCAGAGGCAGGCAGAGTGTTTAAATGCATCTGATAAAGTCGGTGGATGACAAGATGTAGACATGTGTGTTCCTAGTCCCGTTAGGGAGTGAGCCTGTGTGTGTGTGGGGGGGGCTCCTCGCCTGCTCCCAGCTCCCCTGAAACACCTTCTTCTTAACGCCCATCCAAATTCAGCCGGATTCTTCTCCTCCTAGTCAGGAAAGTCTCCCCCAGGCCACCTTCACTCAGCAGCAGCCTCTAGGTCTGGGCTGATGGGGCACCCATCCCGTAAAAAGAAGGCCCCAAGTCTTTGCTCCTGAGCTGGTCTCTGCCTGCCCCTGGGGTTTGCCCTGTCCTGGAGCTTTTGAACAATGCTTAATATGAAATAATTTTAATATTTAAGGAGTGGTGGTGGTGGTGGGAGGACTTTCAAAGTTGTGCCCAGCACAGCACAGGACAATGGCTTGGGTACTAAGCAAGGAGCCAAGGGCCATGGAAACACAAGTCTGTCCTATCTCACCTTGGTCGAATGGACCCAGTTGGGGAGGGGAAGGGGTTCTGCCCTTGAATAAGCCAGTGGGTCCCAGGTGGTGGAAATGGAGCGGGACAGGGAAGACAGAGCAGGTGCAGGATGGGCTGGGCGGTTCCTGGGCTTTGTCTTCCAGTGTTTGCCTGTCCAGGGGGGCGGGTAGGATGTCAAGTTTAAGGCTCCAGGGCCCCTGCACAGAGCAGCTGCCTCCCACAGCTCTGTCCACCCTCCAACCAACTGCCCAGTCCCCAGATAAGTGACTGAGGGGATAGAGGTCATAGTTTAGACTCAGCTATCCCAGTTGGTCCCTTGGTGCAGCCCCTACAATGGCCTTGCAGCTGCCGCTCCATCTGGCTCTCCTGGGGCTTGGCATCGCTGGGTCCTTGGTCCAGGGACGCAGCCTCCATGCATCCGCAGCCGGTGGGCGGCTGGGAGAGGTCAGAGCTTTGGGATTTGGGTTCCCACGGTACCCGGATGAACGCTACTTCCATCCCCCAGCCTGGCCAACCCTCTTTGGTCTCCAATCGCCCGAGGTCACCCAGGACCCCCTCCAGATCCCGAGCAACGGGAGCGCGCCTTTACTGGTGACGGTGCAGGTGTTCGTATCTAACGTGTTTAACGTGGTGAGCGCCCGGGGGCAGGGTGAAGGGGGCGCGCACACAGGCTCAAGGCCTAGCTATGGTCGGTGCAGGCCTCAGCTGCAGGAGTGCTGGGGTCTTCTGCCTCCTCTGGCACGAGGTGATTTACTGTCCTGCCACACTCTCCCAGGACATCCTGCGATACACAGTGTCCTCGGTGCTGCTGCTTCGACTGGTGAGCGCCCACCGGGGAAGGGGGTGGGAGAGCCTGCTGAGTGCATCTCAGGAGTGCGGGCTGCACTGGCACGCAGCTGGCGGAGGTGGGAGCCTCATGACGCCCTGTGTCCCCAGTCCTGGCTGGACACCCGCCTGGCCTGGAACGCAAGTGTGCGCACTCAACACGCGATCACGCTGCCCTGGGACTCCATCTGGATACCAGGACTCACCATTCAGGAGGCGTAAGTGAGGCAAGGGGGGCTGGTCCCCAGACCCCGCTGCCCCTGCCTGCTCTTCGTGAACACCCAGGCTACATGATCATGCACCCTCATTGCCCTCTGATCCGGGGAACTCGCTGGCAGTGGAGGCTGGCGACCTAGGACTCTGGGTCTTTGGATGTGGCCTTGCCCCCACAGGCTTTGGGTGGACTGGCGGGACCAGAGCCCGCGGGCACGTGTGGACGCAAACGGCAACGTGGAACTCTACCTGGCCCTCACCACGGAGACCAACTGTGACTTCGAGCTTCTCCGATTTCCCCGGGACCAGAGCAACTGTAGTCTCAGCTTTTATGCGCTGAGCAACACGGGTGCCCACCCTGGGGTTGGGGGCAAAGGGCAGGGCAACCTCTGGCCATGTCTTACTTAGGGTTCCTGGGCCTGTTCACATTGGTCACCCCAGACTTAGAGGTGGAATCGATTTTAGAGCAGGATTTGCTTCTTCCCCTCCCATCACTTCTCAGCAGTGCCACTTCCTGATTCTCTCCACTCAGCTATTGCCCAGGAACTCTCCTCTAGGGCCTCAGTCCGAAACTTGGGTTTTGTAGCAGCCCTACAATCGGGTGGTTTGTCTTTTTATCTCCCCTCCACTACCTCAGAGCCTTGATATTCCACAGCTAGGGCGGAGCTGCACCGGCGGGTATCCGCGCCCCCTCCTGGACACATCCTGAAGGTGCAGCCACCTTGTAACCATCTTACAGGCTGATCAGGTGACCTCCAATTGACAAGGAAATCCCACCCTTCTTTTGCCTTCCTCCAGATCATAGCATCTTTCCGCAAATATTGATACTCTAGGTATGGGAAGATGTACTGATGTGACTCTGAGACCACACCCGTCAACGAGGAGTGTATTTATTTGTACAATGAAAATTCATCTAGGATTCTGATAAGGCCCTTTTCCCTAACTGAAGGTCTGTCAATTCCTCATAGTTGCAGTTTCATTATCAAGGCTCCCCTCTCCTCCATCTCCGCACTCACACCCCCAAGCAGTTCCCATCACCCCAGACTCCAGTTTGTCCCATCCCAACTCCCAAGAGCCATTGGGACAGGGGTATTTCTTTCCTAATTCATCCATCTCATTTTTATCCATCCAGTGATGGAGTTAGCGTTCCAGGCCCACGCGGTCAATGAGATTGTGAGTGTCAAGAGGGAATACGTAGTTCAGGATTTGAAAATCCAAGTCCTGCCCCAGCAGCTTGTGCCCTGTTTCCAGGTGACGGTGAGTCCAGAGAGGGGTAGATCTAGACGGGAAGGTGCGGAGCCAAGGGTGGGGACACCACCTCTCGCTGCCCACTCCCTCTGCATCCCCCCAGAGCCCCCTCTGTCTTTCCTGCAGCTGAGCCTGCAGAACACTGCGCTAAAGGCCATCATTGCTCTCTTGGTCCCTGGGGAGGCACTGCTGTTGGCAGATGTCTGTGGGGGGCTGCTGCCCCTTGGGGCTCCGGAACGCCTGGGCTACAAGGTGACCCTGCTGCTGAGTTACCTGGTCTTCCACTCATCCCTGGTGCAGGCACTGCCCAGCTCCTCCTCCTGCAACCCACTGCTCAGTAAGCACTGGTGGACCCACCCCTGCTGGCCTGCCGCCCCAACGCCGCCTGCACTGCTGGCCTCTGACCTTCCCTTTATCCCCCCAGTCTATTTCTTCACTGTCCTGCTGCTGCTGCTCTTCCTCAGCACTGTGGAGACAGTACTGCTGACTGGGGTACAGGCCTACAGCAGTCGGGGAACCCAGATCAGCCCTAGCCCCTGCCCAAGAAGTGGACAGCGAGATCATGGAGACCCAGGACCTAGTTCTCAAGGTGACTGAGGCCTTTACTGGTGGTCCTGGGGTGAGGAATGGGGTCTGGGAGCAGTTGGATAGGACAGAGTCTGCAGGCGGCATGTCTAGGGTCTAGGGTTTAGAAGCTCCCAGCATGCACTCTGCGAGCTTCCTTGTCCTGGGCTCCACTACTTCCTCTCTTGGAAGAGGCAGATCTTCCTGAGGGCCCAGAGAGACTTCACATGTGATACCTCACTACCTTGTAGAGCCTCAGGAAGAGAGCTGGTGCCTTCAACTGAAGATCGTTTAGAAGGGACCAGATCATTCAGTTAGTGACTCCAAGGGCATATACAGGATGGGGTCCCTGGGGGGACTACTTTGTTTGGGGAAGCCCTGAAGGTCAGCTCTTTCCCCACATCGTCCATCCCTACAGGAGCCCCTGGAGGACGAAAGGGGTCAGGGAAGAGCTGGGCTGAGGCTGCCGACAGCATCTTTTTCCTGGCGTACGTGGCTGGAGTTGTGTGCAGCCAAGCCATTTTCGTGGGCATCTGGATGTGGGCAGTGTGCAAGTCAGACCCCGCCCCTGGAGAGGCTGCGCCCCATGGTGGGCAGCCCCGGCTGTAACTGAGCAGCCTCCAAGGGACAGGCTGTGGGCCTTAGCCAGGCTTGGTTTCTCTGGGGTGGGGAGAAGCTGACAAGAGTCTCTTCCTCTCTGACCCCAGTGTCCCAAGTCCCCCTTCCTCAGCATGCCAGCAGAGTAGGAAATAAACCTACTGCCCATTTGCAACCGCATCTAACTCAGCTCTTTCCTCTCGAACCAAGTGGAAGGGGCCCCACCTCAACCCTGACCCCCACTCTGCCCACACCTCCCACCACCAGCCCCCCCGACCCAGGTGCCTAATTGTTCTTTCTGCCACTACTGCTGTCCGGTCCTGGGGACAGGAGACAGAGGACTCTAAGAGACCACACTCATCCCTCCTTACCCTACCCCCCAAAGGTGTGGAGGGAGTAGGCTGAACCAGTTACCTAGGGTGTCTCTGGGGCATCCCCAACCCCCAGGATTGCCCTGAATTCTGGGGGAACAGGAGACCCACCCAACATTGCAGGGTGGAAGTGGAGGGGTCTCAGCCTGGTCCCTGGCTGTGTCCCGCCTCTGCTCTTGCCACAGGCAGGAGCTGTGGGCCCGAGGCCTTTGTCCTTCCTCTCCTGTCAGAAGCCATCCTGTGCTGCCACAGACTGTTGTCAGATCACCAACCCCAAGGGGAGAGCGCTGCGAGTGTGGGCCACAGGAGGAAGTGGACATGGGGACAAGAGGGCTTGGGACAGGGCTCCTGACAGGGGCGGCAGAGAAAGGTCCGCATCCCAAAGGACTTCAAACTCCCCCAGCTGCGGCACAGTAACACTGGTTTATCTGTCCAAGGGTGTACTTAGTCTGATGGTCCTGGGCAGGGACTACCGTAGGCTCAGGCAGAGGTGTCAAAAAGGCGCTCGATCATGTCGCCCACCTGGTCCACGCCATACTTGATGTACTTCTCGGGGTTCTTGGTGAAGGGCACACTGCCATACCTGTGCAGGCACTGTGGTCAGGGGAGGGAAGAGCCCACCGCCTCCCACCCTCTCCCTCAACCCAAGCACTCCAGACAGGGACAGGGTCTAGAAGCAGACAGCCAAGTCTCTGGGTGGCGTCCTTGTCCGGCCCCACGGCAGACCTAGTATCTGGGACTCGGGAGTTCAGCTGGGACAGTGGAGACATAGGACTTGGGGGGCTGGGGCTCACCTGTGCAGGAAGGCCCCGTAAGTCTCCTTGACGATGGTTTTCTGAGCCTGGCGAATCTTGTCCCTCTGCTCTGTGTCTGGAATTGCCCAGGCCTTCTGGATTTTACACAGTTCCTCAAGGCCATCGTTGAAGCCCTGCTCACCACAGAGGGGGCTCAGAGAACAACGACTGGGGTCTGTGCTGCCACGTCAGCAGCGGCCACAAGGTCCGGAGGGGAGGGGACCCAACTCACCTTAAACCGCTCCTTGATCATCTGCCGCTCCTTGTCCCGGAGCTGGGGGCAGAGGAGGATGGACAATGCTTTCCTCAGAGACCAATGTCCCTGGATCACAGCCCTCCAAGGCCATCCCAGAGGGACACTTGCCCCAGACACATGACAAGAGTGTCCCCAGCTGCTCAGCACCCCTTCCTGCCCACCTTGACTCCAGGTTGGAAGACAGGGAGGTTCCTCTCGGTGATGTAGTCAGTCACCTTGAGCCAGCTGCCGAGGCACGGAGAGGACTGTGAGGACAGTGCTTTAGACTCGGGCGGGTTCTATTTTTATTTTTTTTTTTAATTTCCTGAATTACTTGGGGGGCTGGAGGGGAGAGCAAGAATCAATCTAGTCCTAACTAAGCAAAGCACAGCAGAGGTTTTCTTTGGGATTAGAAAAATCTTTAAATTGTTAGTTTTAAAAATTAAGGACAGCATATGATAATGTTGAACACATTCCTCATGGACTATGCCAGATCAAGATGAAGTAACTGATGAAAACGACAGATCAATGCAGGGCAGAAAGACACAGTCAGAGTGGACCAGGGAGACAGGAGAATACTGTGGAGGGACAGCTCATTCTAAGTGAATGTATTCGCTGTTGCTGGGCTCTGTTGAGTCCATCCTGACTCAGAGAGACTCTAAGGGACTGAGGAGAACTGCCCCATGGCATTTCCCAGACTGTAATCTTCACAGGAACACATTCCTAGGTCTTTACCCTGAGGAACCCACTGGTAGGTTTGAACTGCCGAAGTTTCAGTTGATAGCTGAGTGCTTAACCACCGTGTTACCAGGGTGAGTATCTTGGTCATTGGCTTTTGCAACTTTGCTGCTCTCTTGGGCACACCTCTGCCGGTCAGCTCTTCAGTGAGTTTTAACATGTGACCGTTACAGTGCCCACAAGGGAGAAGATGGGGAGAGGGTGTCTCTTACCCATGAACTTGATAAAAACAAAAACCAGTGGTGGGCTGGGGAGCATAGGACAGAAGTTCCCCCTGAGTGAGCCACCCGACCCCAGGCTCTGGGTGGGGCCCAGCCTCTCACCTGCGCTGGTAGGTCTGTACCTGCTGCTCAATGTGCTCTCGGTAGGATCTCTCTGCAGTCTTCTGGGTCACAGCCACCAACTGGATCAGCTCAGACCTGGGGGTGGGGGTGACGGAGAGACAAAGCTGGCTTCCGGGGCCCACAGGTGGGCTAGCACTAGGCTGTCGGAGGTAGGCCCTCCCCACATCACGCCCCCAATCTGCAGGCGCTCTCAGCCCCCTATGGGTGGTAAGGGCACAGCCAGGCCAGGGAAACGGTGGGAGTGTGGGGGCCACTCACTTCTCCAGGGACTTGAGGATGTAGTTGTAGTTGTTGTGTAGGAAGACGGCGCTCAGAGCCGGGTCTTCGTACACCTTGGACTTGCTCAGCAAGTTTAACTGTAAGTTGCCCAGAACTTTACCTGCATGAGGCGGGGGTAGGGGGGATGTGACCATGCCCTCGGGCCTATTTGACCCTGTCCCTGCCTCCCAACTCCACGGACCCCAGGTGCCCTGAGCCCCGTTCCCATTGGTCCCTGAAACTAGAGGTTAGACTGCAACTCCAGCGCTATGTGGGGCTTAGGAGCAATGCACAGAAGAGAAAGTGGGAGGCAGGATGCCCAGAGGGCACTCACAGATGTAGGCACTCAAGAGCCGCTTGCTGAACTCGGAGCTGTAGCTGGTGGCTGAAGAGCTGGTCTCTGTGTGAAGTGAATCAGCCCTGTCACCCTGGCCACAGCTGGAGACCCTGTCAGCCCTGCCCTCCACCCTCGGGGGAACCTGAGGGGACCTTCCTCAGGCAGGTGGGCAGAGCTGGCATCCGCCAAACCACAGGCCTCTCCTGCCACAGGGCACACCCTCTGTGGGTTTCTCAGGAACCCGGGCAAGCTCCCTGCCCTAATGGGGTGGGGTGGTTAAGGGTCTGGTCCACGTTGGAAAGTAGGCAGGACAGGAGTGGGCACCAATGCCTTTTGGCCACCCCCAACCCCAGCTAGGTGGACCCACAAGGTCCACACATCCCACTTGTCAATAGGGACATCTTATGCGTTCCCCGTTTCTCCCCGCACTTCCCATAAGCCTCTTAAATGCTTCCATACAGGGAGCCTGCTGCCTGCGGAAAGTAGAAGGCCAAGGGGTGGGGAAAGGGAGCAGGTGGGAGGGGCTGGGTGCTGTCCAGATAAGCTCAGAGACAGGAAGTCACCAAGCGGGGCACAAAGAGAGTTAAGAGCACCCATACAGAACCCATGTGCCCTGTGGCCCCCACTCCCCAGCAGGCCCTGTCCTGAGTCTGTCAAGGTGCCTTGCTTCCCAGGGAACTTCACCCAAGGGGCTTCAGAGAGGGGAGGGGACACAGTGCCCCACTGCTTACCTCGGGGGTCTAAAGGAATATTGTATGTGTCCCCAAGAACTACGCAGTGAGAGGCAGAGCAGAGAGGGGATGAAGGGGGAGACGGGAAAGGAGAAAGATGCAAAGTGTAAAAACAGGTTAGAAAAGGTTTGCCTTCCCACCTTACACAGACCGCACCCCATGATAGCTGGCCATAGATGGAACCCAGGCCACGCCCTCAGAGAACCAGGGGACCCACTAGAACTGGAGAACTGGAGGCCCAAAGGCCAGAGCCACCCCTGGACTCCTTGCCCCCAGCAATGGGGGAAGTAAGGGCTTGGGGCCTCAAGAGGCTGGCTGGTCCCCAGTGCTCGGAACAAGCTAGAAACAAGCTCCTGCTTCTAGACCAAACTCCACGTCGCAGGCCCAGGGCAGTGCTCAGTAGGAAGACACGCCTCTAGAAGGGAGATGCCACCCATCGATAGGGCCATTAGAGTGAGATTCATTAGTAGAACAGAAAATGACAGGAAGTGGAAAAACATGGAGGGCCCCTTCACAGGAGTGGGGATGGTCCGAGGAGCTCAGGGAGGGGATGGAATTGTGGGAGGCAAAGTCAAACTGTGTTCTCCTGCTCACAGCCAGAATGGTCCAGCTCAGCCCCAGCCCCACTCCACAAGACTGTCCCTGTCCTCAGCCAGGGGTCAGTGCCCGACAAGAGGGAGAGTGGGAGTGGGGTGGCAGGGGCAGGGCCCACCGGGAGGTCCCCAGTACCTTGGGAAGCTAGCATGGCGCCTGCTGTCTCCTGGAAGTCCAGAAGCTGTTGCAGAAAGAGAATGGCCTGGGGGCAAGAAGTGGGCCCAGGTCAGAGGTCAACAGCAGGAGCCGCAGGCCCGAGCGCCTCCCACAACGTAACCACAGCAAGGGTGTGCCAGGGAACCCCGAGTTTCACCCTTGGGGTTTTAGCCTTCTAGGAAAGGCCCTGGCTACTGTAGGTGCTAAGCTCTTCCTGCCCATCCCATTATTAGCCCCACCTCATGAAGATCGCCCCATGGTGCCAGCACCCTCCCTTCCCACGTTCCCATGGGCAACACTCACGTTACTGGTGAGTTCATGCACGGTGCCGTCCTTGGGCATATTGTACTCCTTGTCCGGGTCATTCTGTGGGGACAAAACCAAAACACAACAGTTGCCGTTAGACTGATTCGCAGCGACCCCTTCACCACATGTGAAAGCAGACCTATGTTCCCTAGGGAGGGGGTGTGTTTGTAAAAATGATTTGTGATGTTGTTGAGAATACAGACATCAGGACAGGTACCAGATAAACCACTTTCCATGTGTACATTTCAGTGACATTGATGACATTCCTCAAGTTCTGCACCCACTGATTCTCCTTTACTTTTCCCATGCCAAGGTTCCTAGCTAATCTTCCCAACCACTCTTGTCAATCTGATTCCATAAAGACAGTTCTGAAAAAAGCACAATGCTCAAGGCAGACACTGACTAGTTAAGCGAAACTATCATTTAGCTTTGAGACTTCAGAGACTACTTGGGTTTAAGTTTTAAAGACTATTTTAGGACAATATTATCAGGGGTCTAACCACCCTCAGTGACTCCATAAAGTCTGGATTCCATGATAGGATTGGATTCTGTTCTGCATTTTCTCCCCTTTTGATCAGGATTCCACACGGTTTGCACCGGATGGCTTTGGAGAAGTAGATTGCCAGGTCTTTCTTCCAAGGTGCTTTTGGATGGACTCGAACCGACCAATTTTAGTTTAGTATTAACATACCACCCAAGGATTCCAAGTAAAAATAATGAGCCTGACAAGTCTTCAAGGAGGCCTGGAACCTCCCTGGCCAGGTCTGGCCTGCTCACGGAACCACCTCCTGGTGGGCTGCTGTCAGAACACCCTCGGGCTGAAGGAGCTTCTGGCCCCAGAGGGCTCTGGAGCCCCCTGGGAAGGCAAGGGAGTGAGTGGGCAGGAAATCATCCCTCCAGGCAAACCCACCCTCTCGGAGGTCCGCTGTCTGAGGAGTTACCTAGAGCCTGGTCATGAGCAGGCCTGTCTACAGTATCCTAGGCTGGGGTGGGGAAGGAAGGGGGCGGGGAGACAGACGGGGAGCTACCACCACACCTTGATATTGTCTGCGAAGTCCTCCAGGGCTTTGGCGCCAGTGGTCTCCATGGAAGTGATGAGGCTGGGCAGCTTGTTCTTGGTGCTGGCGGCTGTGCCCTGAGGAAGCATACAGCTCGTTGCTTGTCTGGAGCCCCACCTGCGCCCCCTGTTCCACACACACTGCCCCACACCCCAAGACAGGCTCCTGTCCTGCAGCAGGGAAACCATTGGCTCTTTTTCTCCTGCCCCTGCTCAGGGGATAGCCCCTCCCTCCCAGGCCCCAAGCCCACGGACCTGGAGCACCTGGTCAAACTCAGGCTTGGTCTGCTTGAGGTGCCGCAGGATGGGGAAGACTGTAAGCACTGCGGAGTAATCGTGCCGGATGATGGCCTTCCGGGCTGCAGATACGATGTTTTCCCCCTCGAGCATCAGGCCGTCTAATGCATCCTGTGACATGGGCCAGGGGCCAGCTCAGGGCAGGCAGACAGCGGTGAGGACACCACATGGTATTGGAACACCCCACCTAGGACAAGACAGGCCCCCCACAAAGCAAAGCCAAACCCATTGCTGCTGAGTTCACTCGAACTCTTGGCGTCCCCATGTGTTACAGAATAAACCTGCTCCGTAGACTTTCCTTAGGAGTCCTGGTGTGGCGCTGTAGGAGAATGCACTGGACCACAAGGTTGACGGTTCAAACTTACCAGCTGCTCCTTGGAAACCCTATACAGGGTCACTATGAGTCAGAATCGACTCGATGGCACTTAACAACAACACAGAGTTTTCTTGGTTGCGCTCTTTATGGAAGCAGCTCGACAGACCTTTCTTACGTGGTGCTAGTGGGTAGGTCTGAACCGTCAACCATCAACGGCTAGTTGTCATGTGCCATTAAGTCTATCACCACTCATACCAAGGAGCAACTGATGGGTTTGAACTGTGGGCCTTTTGGTTAGCAGTCCAGGACTTCTCCTACAGCACTAGGCTAGTAGTTAAGTGCAAACCAGGCCTGTTCCGAACTAAGATTCAGTGGTGCAGCGGAGCCGCGGGGTGGGGTGGGACCTGGATCAGAGAGTCAAAGGTTTTCTTCTGGTGGTGCTCAGGGATGATGTCAGTCAGCAGCTGGTACTCGCTCTGGGCCAGGCGGACGAAGGCGCTGACGCAGTGGATGTAAGCATCGGTCTCCACATCCAGCATGTCATCTCTCCCTGTGGGCACAGTAACACCCCTGAGCCTCTCGCTGCTGGGGAGGCGTGGTTCTCCCCAGCTCCTGATTTGCAGCTGATGGGGAGGAGCCACCAGCCTGTGGCGGAGGCCGCGTGGACACCACTGGCCCAACCAAGTTCGAAGGGAAACACAGGAGCGGAGCCCAGCCTTGGTCCACCCTTGTGCTATGCTCTGCCTTGGACCGACTTTCTGTCCCCAGAGCATCTGAGTTCAGAGAGGGTGGGAGAAGGGGAAAAGGATCAAGAAGGAAGATCCCTATGTCAATTTCCTGAACAAGGCACTAGGGTTCGGAACTGTCCCTGAGAGAGGCAGCCTGGATGGGCAGGTGGCAGCCACCATGGTCAACCATCAGAAGAAATGCTACGCCTCCAAAGCCAGTGACCAGCCTGGCCAGGCCATCTGGGAGGTAGAAGAGGGCAGTGTTCGATGTACTATGAGGCCGGTTAGCTTGGAGTCAAAATCTGAGAGGCGGTGATGTGAGCCCCTTTGCAGGAGGCTTCTTGGTTGTTAGCTGCACTGGGGAGCCCGGATCCTGCTCCTGCAGGCTGAGACCAGTGACAGAACAGCCTGGCCCCATGTGCCAAGGGAACAGTTCCCCAGGGTCCCAGTTGTGGCTGTTCTGTGGTCAAGACTCTGGGACATCCTGCTCTTGAAGGAGCTGCCTCTGGAGCAGACCTATCGTCTCCCCAGGCCTGGGCCCTAGAGAGCAGCAAGAAGAGCCGGTGTCCGAGAGAGACACCAGCGCAGAGAAAGAGGCTCAAGTGGGCCCGGCTGGCCCAAGTGGAGTGGTGGCGGCAGCTACGTGCAGGCTGGGCCTCGGTACTCACCGGCCAGTGGCCCGTGCTTGTCGTTCAGGGCCTCGGACAGGTGCTTAACGCGGAAATCATGCTCGTGACCTAGCGAGACGTCAGCCGCACAAACACAAGCAGCGGTTTATCCAGGGGCTGGGTGGCTGCCCCTCAGGGGATGTGGAAGAAGCCCTTGGTCTCCAGGAGGGGGACATGGGACGGAGGGGACAAGGAGAGGGGCGGAGGGGCTCTGAGCCTCTCGACTGTGTCAAACCACCTTGGGAACAGCCGTTTCAAGCCCGACCTGCAGGGTCCAAACCTATTCTGGGAGCTGGCTCCTCTAAGCCCACTACCTAAAATGCCAAGGAGTACCTAGGTTTTTGAAGGGCTGTGAGGGCTCTGATGATTGGCCCAAGGAGATTCCTGGCCTCATAAACTGGGTCTCTCCCCAAATACAGTTAGAGACCTGTCACTGCAAGTATGAGAGAGCAGACTTCCTGTCCCCCAGGGCCATTCCTCTGAGGGATGAGAGGCCCACCAGGGCAGGTGACCTGGCCGCCCCTCTGGTAAGCGGCAGGGAGGGACATGACCTGCAAGCTGGAGGTGCAGGGAGGGCCAGGCTGGTTCCTGTCACTGCTGATCTGAGCGTGAAAGGGCTGCCCCAGCACTAAAAACATTCGCTGAGTTCCAACAAGAGACAAGAACGAAGATGGGGAGGGGAGAGGGTGGGAGCTCAGGGAAAGCAGAGCTGCCATCAGCCAGCCAGGACCAGGCCAGGGGCCATGACCCCGTCCCTGCACCACCACCAGGGAGCTGTGGTCCTCCCCTGCCACCCCCAACATCTTGGGGCTGCTCCCCAGGCCTCCTGGGTGGCTGGAGGCTCCGCCCTATCCAGGGAGAAGACACACGAGGACGAAGAGAGGAGAGGAACACAGGGGGATTACCTTCCAGAGGAATGAGGTTAGAGCCCCCCTTTTTCCCATCTAGACCATGCTGGGAATACTGTTTCAGAAGATTCTGAGCTTTACGGATCGTCCCTGTCACCAGAGCCACACAGAGAAGAGGTAAGAAGACCTAGGAAATGAGTGAGAGAAAAAAGCAGCAGCCCTCCACCAAGCCCAGTGCCCCCCCAGCCCGGCCTCCAACAGTGAACATGCCCCCTTAGGCTCTGAGGATGGAGACCAAGAAAAGGAAACTCTTGCTCTCCAAATGGCGCTCGAGTGTACTGCTGATGCTCAAACTCAGGACGCACGTTCATCTTAGCCGTGGAGGACACCCAGTGGGCAAAGTGCCACCAAACTCCAAAAGCAAACCCACTGCTGCATAGAATTGAGTCCAAATCACGGCGCTCAGACAGAACAGAGACCTGCTCTCTAGGTCCGGAAGCTGCCAGTCTTATGGAAGCAGACTGCTTCCCCTTTCTCCTGCGGAGCAGCTGGTGGGTTTAAACTGATGACTTCTGGGTTACCAGCCTAACACCTGACCCACTGCACCACCACCAAGAATCCCTTAAGCTCCATCAGGAGAAATTAAAAGATCAAACACACTCCTGAGAGGTCTCTTAACCTAAATGCCGAGGTGTGCTGGAGGGAGCTGGCAGCCAAACGCTCAGACCCAGTAGGGGCAGCGGGCATGCTCAGTGTTGGGCTAAAGTCAGATACCAATCAGAGGGGAACCGAACCCAGAGCTGGGGAGGTCTCAGCTTCCAGAAAGAGCAGGGCTGCCCAGACAGAGACAGGCGGCCACATCTAGCCCGTCACAGGAACTGCCTAAACCACTCAGAGGCAGGGGACAAAAAGGCCACAGTCAAGAAAAGGTTCCCAGAAGCCACCAGAGTATGGGGGGAGGGCCAGAGGGAAGGGACACACTCGTGGCACGGTGGAGGGGAAAAAAAACAACAGTTAGTATCACAAGATAAAACAGTAGACATGAAACTGCAGTGCTTGAAACCTCCAGGGGTCTGGCATCTCCAGAGAAATGAGGTGCCTCAGGGCATAAAACAGGCGGAAATCAACTAACAGGTAACACAGATGCAGCTGCTTGGTTCATATGGTTCATGTTGGGGGCGGTAGGGGCATGTGAACGTGACTCTGGTCCACCTTCTCTGGAGACTGCTCAGCCCCACCCCCAGCACAGTGATGCTGCTGTGTGCCGGCGGCTGCCAGGGGCCGGGGGAGGAGGGACGCAGTCTGGAACACTAGCCACAATTAGTGTCTGATAACCCTGTGTTGATTTCACAGTGACTCCTGTGTGTCCGCTGTGTTCTCCTGCCCCAAGCGGCCTTGCTCAGGATTGGGTCAGATTCCCCAGTCACACCCGACCACGCAGCAGCATCCTCACAAGTGGCACCAGTGTGGTTCAGGGATGTTTGGCCGGCAGCTGCCATTGCTGACCAGGGCTCCCGCTCCTGTCCCCAGTTCCTGACATGGGTCCTGAGTCCACCGCCGCCTGACAACCTTTAAAACCCCCAGGATCCTCATGGCCTTAGTTCCTTCTTATGCCTAGAAGTTCAGGGTAGATGAGGTCCACTGGGATCCTTAGATCAGGTCTTGCCTGGGACAATGCCAACTAGGTCCTGGGGCCTCCACTGGGTCACCAGAGAACAACACAGAAGATCCCTCATCCCCACTGAGCCTTGGCACCCTGAAGACATTCCCAGAGACACTCCCAGCAGGTGAGCTCAGTGCATTCCTTATCTGAGGTGGTACCTCCTGAAGAGGCCACCAGGCTCAGCTCCCCTAAGGCCTTGCCCACAGGTACCCAAGGGCAGCTTCCTTTCTTCCATTCTCAACTTAACCTGGTCTGACTCTAAACCCCAGCAAAGGCCTTCGGAGAATCGGAGTGCTTGTTGAGTATGAACAGACCCTGTTCTTTGAGGGCCAAGAGAATCGAAGGCTGTGGGCTCTACACCAAGTCCATGGTCAGAATTGGTGGGACCCCTGGCCTCGTCTGGGCCATGTGCTCACCAAGTGGCCAAGGTGCATCAGACAAGCAGGCCTTGACTTTACTGCCCTTTCTGTCCCCTGGCAAAGCCCAGGCTCTCCCCAACACTCAGCAGCCAGTCAGTCAGCCAATGATGGAGAAGGACAGACAGACAGGAAGCTGGTCACCAGGGCCCCACAGCCCAGGCGTCTGTAACTCAATGCCCCTTCCTGGCTTTTCCACAATAGCAAACTGACTTCATGGTGAAGCCCCACAGCCCGGCCCAGCTCTGCAGAGGGCAGTTTGGGTCTTTTCCTTTCTGTGAAAGCACATGTTCTCCTCTGTGCACTTTTCAGGCACGCATCACTCCAAACCAGCCTGGAATGCCTTCCTTTGGTCACTGTCCCTGATGCTGCAGTGCATCTGGCCTTCTGTCAGGACAACAGAGGGTACCCCGGGGTCACTGCACCCAACATGTGGCTTTGTCCTGGCATTTTCACTGCGCCATACTAGTGGCTGCCCTGGTGAACCACTGTCACTGTGCCTCAGAATGATAACTGAGCACTTCGCTGGGATCCCCAGAGCCCTTTGTGAAACTTCCAGACTCTGCTGGGCGGGGGATCTTACTGTGCGGGCAGACATGTTTTTCTGACTGGAGACCCACCGTTGGGGGTTATGGTGGAGACACATCTGGAGGTGTGATGCTGCTAACGCGTGGATGGACAAAGCCACCGGTCCCACACAGCCTTCTGCCTGGTCTTGGATGGGCAGGGTGAGGGCTCACCTGGCCGCTTGACTGGCTTCTTGGTGGGTGTGTCCTTCCTCTTGTTGGGGACAGCGGGGGAGTAGGGAACCCCAGAGGATGAACTGCTCTTCCGGAAGTGCTCCTTCAGGCCCTTGATGGAGCGGTCCAGCTGGCTGGAGCGAATCTGGTAGTAGACGTTCATGAAATCTGAGGAGAGAGTGGCAGACAGTGGCGGCTGGGTCCCTGTCTTCTCCCACGAGAGGCAGCTCCAGGTGGCAGCCAAACCCACTGTGACTATGTGACAGAAGCAGACTCTTACCTTCCACCCAGGGCTTCCGGTGCTATTTGAAATGTTTACAATGAATCAAAAGAGAAGTAATGAAAATAAAAGCGGTATGAAGAAAGGTAGAGATTTCTTTAGATTCACAACTTGGTATGTAAGCTACAGATTTTTATTGCTTATATTTGCTCCAATTAAACTTCTATTTAAAAAATTCGAGTAAAGGGAACCAGATCCTGCCACACGGGTGGAGCCGGCAGTCAGGTGGGCCTGCTCACCTTGGTTGCGGCCGTATTCCACCAGCCAGCGGGAGATGCGGATCACATCCTGCAACACGCTCTCAGGCAGGTGCTCCAAGGGCGCTTCCTCTTGGAACTCCAGCTCATCCTCGCCACTGATCAGATCCAGGATGAGTACCGGGGAGACCACCTTGCTGTGCCGAGTCATCAGACTGCGGAACTCTGACTCCAGTGACTCTTTCCCCCGTTCAAACAGCAGCTTCTACATACAGGAAGGAAGACGGGGGAGTACCAGGGAGTTTGGCATCCACACAGCCTTTCCTGTTGCTTCTGCCTTCCTGAATTGGGGCCTCTGGCACCCTCCACCTTTACTTTCTTCACACCTGGAGACGAGTCACTAGGAGCCCTTCTTTGATTAACCCTTTACTTCATTGTCTCTCAAAATGCATGGTCATAGATCAAACCCCAGGACTCTGAAAGAACTTGTTATTGTTAAATGCCATCGAGCAGGTTCCAATTCATAGCGATCCTATATAGGCTGTCCAAGGAGCGGCTGGTGGGTTTGAACTGCCAACCTTGCAGTTAGCAGTCCAATACATATCCTACAGTGCCACACCAGGATTCCATAAGTATTTATAGCTTTGTTGTTATGTGCCACCAAGTCGGTTCCGACTCTCAGCGACCTTGTATAGGGTTTCCGAGGAGCAGCTAGTGGGTTTGAACTGCCGACGTTGACGTTAATAGTCCAGTGCTTACCCTACAGCACCACACCAAGACCTTCTGCAAGAAGTAGATGGCTAATGAATGCTGCTTGTTAGAAACCCTAACCCAACCCAGCTCCCTGCCATCGAGTGAAATCTGACTCATGGCGACCCTGCAAATCAGAAGTGTCCACAGGGTTTCCAAGGCTAGAATCTTTGCAGAAGCAGACAGTGTCATCTTTCTCCCTCAGAGTGGCCAGTGGACTCAAATCACTGACCTTTCAGTTAGAACTTAACCACCGCACCACCAGGGTCCCCTATTTCTTGTCAGAAAGGGGTTGCAAAACAAAAAAGAAGGAACTAGAACTACATTAAAGTGAAAATGTCTGTACGGCAAGTACTGTTACCAAGAAAGTGAAATGATAACGTACACAGTGAAATAAAAGATTTGCAATTCATGTATCCTGGTGTAGTGCTGTATGATAAGCACTGGATGGACCACAAGGTTGGTAGTTCAAACTCACCAGCCACTCTTCAGCAACCCTACCCAGGGTTGCTATGAGCTGGAAATGACTTGATGACACTTAATACAACAACAACGAAGAACTCTTATAACTCAGTAATAAAAAAAGAGAGATAGTTATCTCTATAGCATGTGTATTTTACCTTGTTTTTCTTGCTAGCTGTGGCCGAGCTGGTCCAACCATAGTGACCCCATGTTTTGCAAAGCTGAACCGCTCCATAGGGATCCCTGGATTGTAATCTTTATAGAAGCAATTTGCCAGGGCTTTTTTCCATAGAGCTACTGGTGGGGTCGAACCACCAACCTTTAGGTGAGCAGCCGATTACAAACTGTTTGCCCCACCCAGGCTCCGTATTGTACTAAACACTTGTGTTTACTCTACTATATATTCCTTTGAGCTGGTCCAGTGCTCCTGGTGAGACCAGGGCAGGGTCTGAGGTTCCCAAACCTCTCACTTTACTCCACTGGGCTCTTACCACTTTGTTGAGCTCTGGGCTGTCTGGGCTGTTGTCCTGGAAATACTCCACAGCCTTCTGAATCTTGGCCATGCTTCCCAGGTACTCCTCCAGCCTCCCCGTGGGACTGGGAAGGAAGAGAGACGATCAGTTTGGAGGGCGGTAAAGAATAAGGACAAAGAGCATAGCATCTGACACAGGAGTCTCGCCTTCCTGTCAAGTGTGTTGGTGTGGTAGGTGGAGGGATGTGGCCCTCTGGGCCGGGCTCACCCCTCCCTGATGATCCTCTCAGTGTCACTGGCCACATGGTAGTAACTGATGACATGGTCCAGGCAGGACAAGGTCTTCTCGACATTCTCCTGCAGCCGCTGGAGGTTCTCCGTCTGCTTGTGCACAGGGATGATGGAGTTCTCCAGCTTCATGAGGCGGCTCTCAAAAGACGACAGGATGGATACCTGTGGGGAGAGGGTTAGGCTCTCAGTCCTCACACTGTCCCAGCTCTGCCTCCATCCAATCACCAGGCCTGTGTCATTTCCTGCCTCTCCACTGGAGGAAGGGGCAGATTCACCACATAACCCCAGCACCTTGCACATACCAGGCACAGGCTAGATGGTCAAAAAAAAGAGTGGATGAAAGCTGACTGGAAGGCAAGCCAAACATCATCAAATGAACGTCTCCTAAGAGAACCCTCCTAGGATGGCTTCCCTTTCAACTTCTGAAGTCAAATCTCAACTTCTGCTCTCTCGGACCCTTCTGTAGACCAAATAGGAAAGAATGCATATGTGGCCCCTTCAAAAGTCTCATTCTCTGGGGGTGGATCTTGGTAAATAAGGAGTTGGACTTTATTAGGAATGTGGTGGTTTTGTAGGATAAGCACTGGGCTGTGCTTACATGGTTATTGATTTGCGCCTACCAGTCACTCCACTGGAGAAACATGAGGCTTTCTGCCCCCGTAAAGATTTACAGCCTCGGACTCCCTATCCAGGGTCACTACGAGTTGAACTTACTCAACAGCACTTAAGAACACCAACTGGTGGGCTTGGCCCACCAACTTGGCAGTTAGCAGTCCAGTGCTTAGCCTACAGTGCCACACCAAGACTTATTATTGCACTACTAAATACAAATCCAAGTTTATAATCTACTCAGAATTGGATCTGTCTAGTCTTAGCCAGGTGTAAAGAAGGAACTATTACTGACAATCCCGTGGGAGTTCTGGTAGTGTTGTTGTTGTTGTTGTTGTTGTTGTGTGCCGTGGAGTCGGTTCCAACTCACAATGACCCTGTACAGGGTTTCTGAGGCTGTAAATCTTTATGGGAGCAGAAAGCCTCATCTTTCTCCCGCGGAACCGCTGGTAGTTTCGAACTGCTGACCTTGAGGTTAACAGCCCGATTTGTAACCACTATGCTACCAGAGCGCCTTGTGTTAGTGTTACTAGTGGTTAAAGCGCTCAGCTGCTACCTGAAAAGTCAGCAGTTCAAACTCAGCAGCCGCTTTGCAGGAGAAAGATGTGACAATGTGCTTCCGTAACAACGTTCAAACTTGGCAATCCTAAGGGACCGAGTTCTACTCCGTCCTCTCAGACTGCTTTGTGTCTAAATCAACACGAGGGCAGTAGGTCTAGTCTTTGCTGTTGTAGGCCAGGCACTGTACACGATGTGCTCCTAGGACCTTTGGAGTCCTGGTGTGGCACTGCTGAATAATGCTCTGGACTGCAAGGTCAGTTTGAACCACAAGGTTGGTGGTTCAAGCCCATCAGCCGCTCCTTAAAAATTCTATACAGGGGCACTAGGGGCCGAAACCTACTCAACAGCACTTAACAACATACGACCTTCACAGTCACTGGGAGGGTGTCATTGTCTCTGCCTTAGCAGACATGTTGTTATAGGTTGAACTTTGTCCCCCAAAACATATGTTATTATCCAATCCCTATTCCTGTGGATGTAATCCCCAGTGGAAAGAGGGTTGTCCTTGTGTTAATGAGGCCACATCAATGTAGGGCATACACTGAGCCTAATTGCTAAAGTTAAGGAGCAGCATAGACAGAGACCAGCTCCACAATGGAACAACAAAGACATCAGTCACGCGAGATTGCCAAGGAAGGCAGAAAAGACACGGAGACAAGGATCTTCTGGGAGCCAAAAGAGAGAACACTTCCTATAGTCCAAACCCAAACCAAACCCACTGCCATGGAGTTCATTGCAACTCACAACAAGCCTGTTTGGGGTTTCCCAGGCTACAAATTTTTACTGGGGCACAAAGCCTCCTCTTTCTCCCTTGGAGCAGTCGGTGGGTTTGAACTGCCAACCTAGTGGTTATCAGTCTGGTGCTTAGCCTAAAACACTACCAGTGTACCTTTTCCCTATAGGCAGAATGTTAAATTTGGACTTCTAGCCTTTTGAACTGAGTGAAAATAAATAGCTGTTCTTTAAAACCACCCACTTGTGGTCTTTGTGTCCCAGCAATACTAAAATACAAGGCTGGAGGCGCACAAGTTAGGTGCAAGGCACTGACAAGATCCCAGGTCTGTCTGACTTCTGAGTTCCGTCTACAACTACAGTTCTCAGTTCTCTGGGCTGAAGGGGGGTCATTTCTGGCTCAGTATTCGGCAAGTGCCACTCCCAACGGGACGGTCCATTGAGTTGGAGACGACACATGTCCAGTACCTACTCCAGCTTGACAGTTTCATTAAATGTTTGTTGAAGGATCGAAAAGAGAGACTTAAGAGTCTGATCAGAAAGAAGAAAGTTCAGTTTAGCAGAGGCTGCACGGGTGGGCCATGGGGACAGGAGCTACGTAAGATCGATGCCACATTATTGCCAGAGAACTCCACACAGTACAACGATCACTATCACCTGCAAGTCTGACCACCAGGCCTTAGGTGCCAGGGAGCCGCAGAGTCTGGAGTCCCATCTGCCGCCTCCCAGCTGAGGGGTTACTCACCATGTTCTTGGTGAGCTGGTCGCTCTTCTCCAGGCTGTCTCTGATGAAGGACAACGTCTCCTCTTCCTAGGGGAAGCGAAGGGGACGACATCATCAAAAGTCGGAGGCTATAGGAGCTCAGCGCATCCTCCGCCCCGCAGCATCGCCCCAACACCATTTCCTAGCTGAGAGCACCCCTTCCCACTTGCCCGGGCCCGGATCTAGGCCCCTTTCCTTCTTCCACCTCCGCCTCACCTGCTTTAGCTTGTCCTCGATCTCCCGTCGCCGGGCGGACGTCTCCTGCGGAGGGATCATCGCTCAGAACCCTGTGGCTCCCACTCCCCAGGATCTAGCCAAAGCAGTCCTGCTCGACGTCCGTCCTGGCACACCCACTTCCGTTTTTGGCACCGCCCCGGGAAACCACTGGGTGCCATGTTAGGAGTGGCAGGCGGAAGTTCGCCTGCTCAGGGCTCACTAATGCGCTAAAGCGAGCGGCCATCGTGGGTGTGGCTGAGAGCTATGGCGTACGGTGCGCTGCAGTTTCTCGTCGTTGTGGGTTCCCAGCCGCAGCAGAGAAGGTTCCGGAGCGATTTTATGTCACCTGTGGCTGGCAGGATAGCAACAGCTCACGCGTCGGCCTAGCGGGAAGATGGACACGGCGACGAATTCATGATCCGATGTCGCGTTCTCAACAGAGCGCAGCACAGAGCAAGTCATACAGTAGACGCCTGTTGTTAAGGGTTTCTGAAGCTTTTAAATCTTTGCAGGAACAGAATTCCTCATCTTTAGCCTAGGAGCGTCCGGTGGGCTTGAACCATAGACTTTGTGATTCGCAATCCACAAGGTTTGCAAGACCAGTGCTTACTGTTTGGAGCCACCGCGCTCCTAATAGATGCCTCTGCGCCCATTTACTGTGCAATGGGCCCTGAGCACAGGTCCCAGGCCTTCAAAACCACAGTACTGACTTGTGCATGGCTTAGCCAAGTACTTAGGGGCGCAGAGTTCTCAGCGCTTTCATCCTGAGGACAGCACTAGTGTCTGCTTTGGAGAAAGCTGCTTTGTTGGCCATGTGGACCCCGCTGGTGGTAGAGAAGCACTTACAAAGGCTAATGCATATGTCTGGAAAAGCTCAGGAAGGCTGACCTGCTCCACGTCGGCTTGAGGGATTGTGGTGCCAGCAAATTATCTGCCAAGGAGAGACAGGCCTGCCTGCAGGTGTGTTGCTATTAAGTGCTGCCGAGTTGGTTCTGACTCATAGCAACCCTATATAGGGTTGCCGAGGAGTAGCTGGTGAGTTTGAACTGCCAACCTTGTGGTTCAAACCAACCTTGTGGCCCAGTGCATTATTCTTCTAGATAAAATTTCTGCAGTATGAGAGGCAAAGTCTGACCATCCTGGCTTTTAATGAGCATTCTGGCTGTACTTCTTACAACACAGATTTGTTTGTTCTTCTGGCAGTCCATGGTACTTTTAATATTCTCCTCCAACACCATAACTCAAATGCATCAATTCTTCTATGGTCTTCTTTATTCGCTGTCCAACTTTCACATGCATATGAGGTTACTGAAAATATCATGGCTTAAATCAGGTACACCGTAGCCTTCAAACTGACATCTTTGCTCTTGAACACTTTAGAGACATCTTGTGCAGCTGTTGTGCCTAATGCAATACGGGGAAAGGCTTAAATTGTTAGGTACCACAGATGGGCCATTGGGCTCAGGTGGACTTTCCTTGAGGACCACAGTTGGCACTTCACCTTTCCAGCACCCAGCTGGATGCTCAAGATGCTGTAGATGCTCTGTAGATGCTCAAAATACAGAACATCTTGCTGTCTAGGTTTTAGGAAGGGTAGTTGGAACCGACTCCACAGCACGTCACCACCACCACCACCATCCACTCTGATTACAAATAAATTGTTGAAGCCTGTAGAAACACTATTGTACTTTTGTAAATAAAGTATGTACATGTGTTTCTGTAGTCTCACATTTCTTCAAAGCCTTTAAGTGTAATTTGGTAGTCATCTGCCATTCACTACAGTCTTCTGTTTGTTCGTCCCTGTTACAAACAATGTCCTTGTGTTAGTTTACTATTCTTGTGTTGTTTGTTGTTGTTAAATGCCGTCGAGTCGGTTCCAACCCATAGTGACCCTCTAGAGGGTTTCCAAGGAACGACTGGTGAGCTAGAACCACCAATGCTGCAGTTTAGACTGAACTTGCAGTCTAGCGCATTAACCCACAGCGCCACACCAGGAGTCCTGGTGTTGTTTAATATCCTCATAATAAACCTTTGTGTCAGGGACAGGTCTTGTCTGCCTTGTACAGATGAAGAAGCAAAGGCTCAGAAGTAAGCTGTGCAAAGTCGAGCTGGCAGCCTGAGCAGGGAAAGCTCTGGCTATGGTCCTTCCACGTCACCATGCTGGGTAGCTCAAGAGTCCAGTTTGTTATCATGAAAAGCTTCCAACTTAGTTTTCAAGAAAATCCATTGTGAAAAGCATCTATTTATATAAATACTAAAAAGTAGACAGAATGAAAACAACAACAAAAGCCTCTTGCCATTGAATGGATTCCAACTCTTGGAGATCCCATGTGTCACAGAGTAAAGCTGTGTTCCATAGGGTTTTCCTGGCTGTCGTCTTTACGGAAGCAGTTCTCCAGGACTTTCTTCCACAGCACTACTGGGTGGGTTCAAACTGCCAACCTTTCAGTTAGTAGTCAAGCACACACACACACACAAATGCAAAGACGAGTTTAAATTACTCTCAACTCCATGTCAGGCATTTGTTAATAGGCAGACACTGATTCTGCAAAAGCTATGATTCCCCAACTACCCTCAGCACAAGTTACTTTAGCAAATAGAGCAAGCTACAGTCTTGGAAGCCTTCAACTTCATCCACAGACTGATGCAAAACACACAGATGTCAATCAGAGCCCAATCCGGTCCATCCACCCCCCAGGCTTCCCCCGCCCCCTGCTCCCACACCCGCTTCCCACAGCCAGCTCAGGAAGGAAGGAAAAAAGGAAGACAGTAAGGTCAGGAAGGAGGGGTCTCCTCCCAATAGTGTGCTTCTTTAGGTTCTCAGAGACTAGGATTTGGGGTACCAGGCCCGCGTGAGCAGTGGAGGCAGTGGGGGTCCCTGGAGAGGGAAGAGCTGGAAGGCAGGACCAGAATCCTTCTAATAGAACCTGTGAAATGACCAGCAGGGAGAGGGGCCCATTCCTGAGCCCCCCAGGGAAGTACTGGAGCAGAGGAGTGGTAGAGGAACCCCGCTGAGGGCAGATCAAAGGTAGGAGAAGGGCCACTTGTCATCATTCCCAAGAGAGGACCTGTGAACATGTAAGAGGCAGGTTGGGCCAGCACAGCTGAAGGCATCTCCTCGGGAAGACATCAGTCGGTCCCTTAGAGACCCCTTGGCTCAACCCAGAGCAGGTGCCCAATAGGCCTATGGGGACATGGAAATCAATGCGTGTTTGAGGGCCAAGGCCAGGAAGGTGATGGAGGAGAGGAGCAGGGCCATGGGAGGAAGCGAACTCTCAGAGATGCAGTCCCAGAGTGGGAACACAAGGGGAGGAAGCTCAGGGTGTGTTTCCTGAAGTAATCGCTAGGTGGAGAGTGAACTCTCTCTAAACTAAGAACAACATATTCAGAACCAGCAGAAATACCCACACCAAGAGATGTGGCCAAGCAGACTCAGCATCCCTTCCTGGCCCTCTGCTGCCAGGGACCAACACCCCTTCCTCCCTTCTCACCCCCTTCAGGTCAAGTTCCAAGAGAGGTGACGGGGGCAGAGGAGATTCTGACTTAGAGGTAGAAACTGTGGATATGAGTTCTAGGCATTCTGTGCCTAGTTCAAGTGCAGCAGAAGGTACAGAGTGAATGAGAAGAATCCGGGTATGAGGTCAGAGGAACCTCGTCTGTCCTCAGCCCTGCCACCTGTGTGTGGCTTCAGCCAAGGGAAGTCTTCTCTGAGTCACTTCAGGTAAAATGAGTGACAGAGCCTATATCAAGGACCTGGGGTTTTGTTGATGCTCCAGAAATGTTAGCCTGCACCTGCCCCAGCTCCTCTGGGCCTTTCTAGATAAAGCCCAAGCAGCAGTGGTGGAGGTGGTGTGCCACAGACTTGGTTCTGACTCATAGCGACCCTGTATAGGATTTTCGAGGAGTCCCGGTGTGGCGCTGTGCATTAGTGCGCTAGACTGCAGAGTCAGTTTGAACTGAAAGGTCGGCAGTTCAAGCTCACCAATTGCTCCTCAGAAACCCTATACAGGCTCGCTGTGAGTCAGAACCAACTTGATGGCACTTAACAATGACAATGACATACGGTTTCCGAGGAAGTAAATCTTTATGGAAGCAGAAAGCCTCATCTTCCTCCTAGGGAACCACTGGTAGACTCAAACTGCTGACCTTGTGGTTAGCAGCCTAGCTCATAATCCACCAAGGCTTCTTAGAGTTCTAGCATGTTGTTGTTGTTATGTGCCGTGGAGTCGGTTCCGAGGCTATCAGGAACTAAATAAACTTTGAAAGACTATTGCTTAGAAATGTGCTCTCGTTTACTTCTGGAGTCTGCCCTGCAAACTGTCCTGATCCACTAATCACATCCCAAGCTGCCTGTACGGTCGGTCATTCATAAAGGTCGATAAAACCATAATCACCAAGAGGTGTGCTCCAAGTGCTGGAGGTGTTGTTAAAGAGCATGAGCCACGAGGTATGAGCTGAGGGGACGTGTGAGTGACATTTCCCACATTTTACAGCTCAGGAGTTAAGCCTTCGGTGTATGTGTGTAGAGCCAGTGGCATCTGAATGTCGGGCACTCCTGTGATCCTTTACAATGGCTTTCTTCTGTAGCCTGCACCACATCCTTGCGTGGTAGCCTTACTGCCCTCAGAAAAGGGGAAAGGGAGGCACAGAGAAGAGTCTAAAAAGTGCCAGAGCTTAGCTTGGAAAGCAGATACTTCATTTCATCACTCATGATGTTGCATGATGGCCTGACTCAGACAGGAATGTCAGAATGGTTCTCCTGGTACCAGCTGGAACATTCCAGGCCCACAGTCCCACTTGGAAAATGGTGTCCCTAGAGTTACAAATCAGGACACGGAATGCCTCAGAGAGGCTCATGGGGGAGATCCTGGAGACACTTTAGTCTGCTTGAGGTCCTTTAGATACCAAGGTTTAAAGGACACACCTGGCCATTATCCCACTACTGACTGCCCACTTGCCACAGCCCCTTCACTGCCCCTAAGCCTGGTTACCCTTTGCCTCAGGACACTGGTGAGCCCTGCCGCCTCTTCTAACACTGGCCGCCAGGCCAGAGGTTCTCCACTGTCTGAACTTGGACAGTGACTAATACTTAAGGGAAGTTTTCCTACTAACTTTATCAATCAGCTCTCTCATCAGGTCAGCTTGGAGGA